CTAAGTACTATTGCTTTTGCTTATTTTGCCACATACTAGGTTGTTATTATGCAGTTAACCCAACCATTAGCCAATTTTATTAATTTATTCTTAAAACAAAATTTACTAAAACTTACACTTGTGGCAATTATGGCGAGCTTCTGCTCGGTTGGGTTTGGTTCTGGTAATCCTAGTACTCTTGGTGCTTCTCCTACTACTACTGCTGCTAAAAACACAACTACAATCCTTGGCACTTGTACGCTTGCGTCATCTCCTGGAGTTTTAACCATAGAAGCAACTACAACTAAAGCTAATGTTTTTGATTTGAACGATCCACCTGTTGATAAGCCAGGAAATGCTGATGCAAAGGTTGTTGCTCTAAATACTATAAATGGTATAATACTTCGGGGTAATTTTGGTGTTACAACTACAGATGCCATAGGCTTAGAAATCACTAATACTAGTGCATCAGCTATCGTATTAAACTTAACTAAAAAATTTATAATAAATAGTACTGCAACAATACAAGGGTCAAAAAGTGGCTTTGTCTTAAACGGATCACTCACCATAATAAATGCTGATATTGAAAATAGTGGCACTATTGGAGGTGGTGTTGTTATTGGTGAAAGTAATAAAACAGCATTTCCTTTAAGGCCTGGAGCAGATACTACTACTCATAAAGTTGTATTCACCAACACCGGAAAAGTTACTGGTGGGTTTGATATTAAGGGAAAACAAGCCGAATCTACTACGAATAATGGTGTTACTGCTAATGCAGTAGCTACTTTTGAATTAGTTAATAACTCGGCGAATGCTAGTAGCATCACTGGTGATATTACATTAGGCAGTGGTAGTAATATAACATTCAAACTAACCAACACTAAAGGCACGATTAGCTCTGATAAAATAACCGTAACTGAGATTAATAATAGCGGCGATATTGGAAAAAATAGTACTAGCTTAACAATAACCGCCACCGAACTTACTAATACAGGTGCAAATGCTACAATTACAGCTACTGATATTAATGGTTCGGGTGCCGCATCAAAAATAACTAATACTAGTGGTGGGAAAATTACTGCGAATGCTATTAATAAAAATAATACACTAAATATAATTAATAAGGGTAATAACAGCACAATCACAGTTACAACCAAAATAACCGCCACTGAAATAAGCAACACCGATGGTACGATTACAGCTCAAGAAATAGAGTCAGATATTGATAATAGCGGAAAAATTGGAGATAGCACAGCAGTAACAACAATAACCGCCACCGAGATTACTAATACTAGTGGTGGGCAAATTACAGCTACTACTATTGGCGATAAGACTACTAAACCAAATATAATTAATAAGGATAGTGGTAGCACAATCACAGCTAACACCATAAATGCAACTAATATTGACAATAGCGGAACTATTAACGGCGATTCTAGTGCTGCATCAACAATAACAGCTACTAATATTAAGAACAGTAAAAATATAACTAAAGGTGGTGGTAAATTAACAATAGTTGCCACCGAACT